GCCCCTCCCCCCCCCCCCCCACTGACCTCCTCCAGGCTGCCTGCCACATTCTGGCAGCTGCTGTGCCCGAGGAGGGCTCCAGTCCAGAGGAGTAGCACAAGGGCCTTCATCCCAGGGCCTGCAAGAGAAGTAAGAGTTCCTCTCCCACCACCCTGCCCCCAAGGCTGCGCTGGGCAGGGAGCTGGGTGAACAGGGCGAGGCAGCCTCTCCAGCCTGAAAGAGGACCTCAGCTTGATGACCCTCCCCTCCAGCAATGTCCTCCCAAGCCTCCACCTGCTTTGTGACCCACAGATGCACCCCAAGTGTGTGCTTTCATCCCGTCGTCTGTGTCAGGGGCCCCGCTTCGAACCCAAGGGTCCAGAGCAGTACAGACGGAGGGGCGGGCTCCTGTGTACAGAGTGCAGTCCGGCACACAGGCACACGGAGGCTCTTCCAGGGAGACAGCCATGCCTGCCCAGCTCCTTTGATGAGATTTAGGGTATCGTCTCCTAAGATGTAGGCAGAACCAGATCTCATTGGTAGAATCACAGAATTCTAAGAATAAAAGCATCTAATCCAGTTTCTACTATCCCTCAAAAATTCTCACACTCAGACCACCCTGTGGTTTGTGGTTAAGATGGTTAGATACCCATGTGGCTGACTGCGTGGTTGAGTCCCAGACCCATTGGGTTGAAAAACACACTAGGTGCTGGGCCAACAGATGGTATGGTGGTTAAGGGCGCTAGACTCCCACATAACTGACTGCAGTTCAAGTCCCAGACCCAGTGGTTTGCTCTCACTTTCTCTCTTTCTCTTGCTCTGTCCCTCTCTGGTGAAATTGAAATAAATAACTGAATAAATAAAGTTAAATAAAATAATTCTTTAAAAATGAAAAACATACCAGGTGCATGCCCAAAACTCCAAAAGGAGGGGGAAATGGAGGAGAAGGGATTGTGGTGTGACCACTCTCCATTGGGGGAGGGGAAAGCTTTCTCACTTTCCCTCTCTTTTTCTCTGTCTTTCTCTGGGGAGCACATACCCACTGGCAAAATTTAAAAAACAAAACAAACAAACAAACAAACCTCAATCTCTTCTTTGTTTCTTCTGGCCTGAAACCTGTAGACTTGAGGCAGAGAGGGTGCAAAGATAACACCTATCTGGGAAGGCCCTAGGTGTGCACATCAGGGCTCCCCTGAACACAACTGAGTGTATGTCTGTGGTCCAGGCTGCCAAGGCTAGGGGTGGATCACAGTATAAAAACTCCATTGAAGAAACTAACAGATGGCGTAATGGTTATGTCATGGGACTCTCATGTGGCTAACTGCAGTTCAAGTCCTGGGCCCGCAGGCTTGAAACTCAAACCAGGTGCCTGTGCATGCATGCTCAAAATCTCAGGAGGAGAATGGAGAAGGGATTGAGGCATGGCCAACCTCCCTAGAGGTGATTTCTTTCAGTCTGTCTGTCTCTGTCTCTCTAGCAAGTGCATGTGCCCTCTAGCAAAAATCTCTCTTAAAATATAAAAAAAGACTCCATTGGAATGCCCCCCAAAAGAAAGAAAAAAAAGAGGGGGGGGGTCTGGCTTAGTGGTTAAGAGAACCAGATCCTACATGGCCAACCACAGTTCAAACTCTGGCTCTGCCACTGTGAGAAACATGGAAGGCACATGTGCATGCATGCCCAAATCCCAACAGGGTAGAGAGATGGAGAAGGGGCTGTGGCATGATTACACCCCACTGGGGGTGCTTTCTCCTTCCCTCTCTGGTATGCACACATGCCCTCTGGCAATTACAAATAATGTGTGTGTGTGTATGTATATATATATATATATATATATTTTAATAAGGAAGCTCATTTCTTTCTCAGACAGTTTTTTTGGGGTTTTATTGTTCGTTTTTGTTTTTTTGAGAGGTTTTTGCTATAGGGTGCATGCACTCGCTAGAAAGACAGAGAGAGAAAGAGACAGAAAGCAAGAAATCACCCCCCAGGGGGGATGGCCACACCACAATCCTTGCTCCATTCTCTCCTCAGGATATTGGACACACATCCACACGCACCTGATGTGAGTTTCAGGCCTCCGAGTCTGGGGCTCAAACCATGGTCAACCACGTGGGAGTCCAGCAACATAACTATTACGCCATCTGCTGGTCCCAAGACAGTTTTGTTTCAAGAGCTCCACCTCCCATGGCTAGGAGTGCAGGGTCTAGGGTCCAATTGTGTGTGTGTATATGTGTGTGTGTGTGAATTTAATTTTAATTTATATTGTAATTTGACCAGAGGAAGACACAAAGAGAGAGGAAAAGTGAGAAAGCAGTCCACCAGGTCCAAGACTTGAACCATGGTCTGTGATGTGAGTCCAGCACCCCAACCACCACACCACCTGCTGGCCCCCCATAGTGTGTTTTAATAGCTCTCTAACCATAAATAATGCTTACCTATAGCTGTGAGGATTACGGTCCATAGTGCCTTAGCAGCTCTTACTGCCAGAGATGGGTACACTTTCAAATGATCCTGGGCCAAAATATGCCCCCTTCAATAAGAATACCGCCCCCCACCTCTCCCCATGAAGCCACATCCACCCTCTTCCCTCAGCCCCTTCTTTTTCCTTCAGGGTAAACAACCCCAAAAACCCCATTTCTTTTTTTCAATTTTATTTTATTCATTGTCATTATCTTCTTTCTTTTCTTTTCTTTTCTTTATTTTTCTTTTTATTTATTTATTTATTTATTTTTGAAGTTGACCAGAGAGAGTCAGAGAGAAGGAAAGTGAGAATGCAGGCTGCCTGGTCTGAGACTGGAACCACAGTGGATCATGCAGGAGTCCAGCAGCCCCAACCACCGCACCACCTGCCGGCCCCTAAACAAGCCCATTTCTTAGTAAGACCACGTCATCCCCTCACCTCCCCAGCAGTGGCCTCTTTGACCAGGCTCTGGTTGGGCACTTGGACCCCAAGGAGAATGCTGAAATCTGGTCTGGTGCCCTCAGGCTGCGCTATCCCTCACCTTCCTGCATTCACCTCATCCCTGAGCTCACCCTGGATTCAGGATCCAGGGCTGGAAGAGATGAAGGCAGCTGGGGCGTTCACACGTAAGATCTTCCAAGAGGCTTCTGGTGAGAAAGTCAGACAAGGTCTTAGCAGCCAGGACTTGCTGGCTCGGGACTCCCTCAGTCCATTCTGCAACACGCACACACACACACACACACACACACACACACACACACCAGGTCTCTATCCTTTCACGCACATACACACACACACCAGGTCTCTATCCTTTCACGCACATACACACACATACCAGGTCTCTATCCTTTCATACACACACACACACACACACACAAACTACATACATAAACTTTACTGACTTCCCAGAACAAATTGGATCAGAAAGATTGGGAGAGCAGTGTGTGATTATTGACTAAAGTTCTTAAAATTAAGTCTGTTAATCCACTGGACAACATTAGCGCATGAAAATGCGGCAAAGGGAAAGCTGCCTCTGGCCGGCTCAAGGCAGCAGGCAGGAAGCAGCCAGCTTTCTTAACCCCTGAGCCCTCTGAGCCCGCTGAGTTCTGCAGACCCAGGATTCCAGGCCAGCCACTCTTCCACACGCCTGCCTCAGTGCTCAGGGAGACAACAGGAAGAGCTTTCTGCAGTCCAAGATAGAGACCTCACCACCACCCAGCTTATAATGCGCTCCACCCGCCTGCCCCACCCAGAGCTGGCAGCAGCAGCCTCTCCCTGAGCCTCAGCAGATTGCTCCATGGAGACTGAAAATTCAGGGAGATGCCTAGGAGGCAGGGGAGGAGAAAGCTGGTAGCTCCGGGTCCCTCTGGGCAGAGTTGAGAGAGGAGGGCCAGATGGGGACATCCTGGCACAGTATTTAGGGAAACTCGGTTCATAATTTGCATGCTCTTGAAGGTGGGGCCGTCTCAAATCCCTACAGTCTAAACCCAAGCCCTGGTCAGATGACTGATCCTTGCCCCGACAGGGGTAGGCTGAGGAGCGAAGACGAGGTGAGGGGACCCTGCAGGGGAAGGCACCTGAGCCCCAAGCTGGCCCAGAGCTAGACATGGGGGTACCCATGTATGAACCACATTGCTTTGAATCCCCCACCTCAAGCCCAAGGGGTGAGGGAAGTGGAGAGATTGTCGAAAGCCCCTACAAGGGTACTGAGAGGGCAGAAGTTAAGGGTTTGCATGGGAGCCCCTCGGAGGCCACGCAATGCCTGGTCCTAGGTGATCGTTCTGTGACCTGGACCAGGCAACCACTGGCTGGCCGGGGGCACAGGGACGATGGTGCCATCGTGTCCAAAGGGCAATATCAAGCCAGACTCCTGTCCTACCAGGTGGAGAGGGCATGGGGAGGAGGATACCCTCCCTGCTGGGCCAAGGTCAGCCTCACTTTCCACATTGCTCAAATCAAGGAACTAGAATTTTGTGATCTTGCCTCTGAGCTAGGAAGATCAATTCAAGCCAAAACATGTGTTTCAGATTAAACCCAGTTGTGAGACAAACACCATCCCTCCTCCTCCTCCCAGAACCACACAGCCTTCAAGCCACATGGGAGTGGACTCTAGACAGTGCAAAGAATCTACCCCCACCTCTAATCCAGGGGTGGGGGTAGATTCTGAGGGGTCCCACCTGTCTGACCCCAGCCCCAGGCAGTGTTCTTTCTGAAGTCTTAGACCCGGAGTGAGTCAGGCCAGGACACCCTCGAGTTATATCTCCCCACACCCCAACAGGACCAGCCCTGGGACTAGAATTCCCTGGCCCCCTCTCCCCTCCCTCTCCGCCTAAGGACTGACTCCCCGTGGACCAGCGCCCAACAGTGGTGGGGCTTCTGGGAAGCCTGTAACTTTTCTCTGGCTCAGATAGCTCTTGCTGTGGCTTGGCTCCGGGAGTAGAAAGGGATAGATAGGACAGTCATTCTTTTGTAGATAAGACCCCAAACCCCATGCACTGGCTGGGCTAAATAGCAATCATTGTTTCCAAGAAGCCACAACCCCATTGGCCTCCCAGCGGCTAATCTGGCCAAAGAATGGGTGGGGGCTGGAAAGACCCAGCTGTGCTCTACCCCAGCCACTCTACCCCAGCCTCAGGCACAGGCTGCTTGGTGGTGTTGGGCATTGCCTTGGAAATCAGCACCAGCGGATTTCGAGAAAGAAGCAGGGAGCCTATGGAGGAAGCCAGGCCGGGCTGCAGGAGGGCCTGCCTTCCTGACTGTCCCTGGTGGTGGCAGCTCCTGACCGGCTCGCCTGACAGCCTCTTCCCCTCAATGCCCCAGCTTCTTGGGGGTGCTGCCTCAGACCTGCCCCTGCAGCGTAGCTGTTCCCTCTCCCTCCACCACCCCCTCAGTTGTTTCCCACTCACCTCATTCAAAAGTCTTGCCAGCCTCTTCTCATTGGTGCAGTGGGGTTTGGGGATCAGTAGGTTCCCTCCCCGCCACCCCCGAGTTACCTCTGACCTCTCATCCAACCCCCCCTGCTGCCCAAGCTGCAGGGCTGCTGGCTCCCCACCACCTCTCCCTTGCACTCTCCTCTTCTCCCCGGGATGCCCCTGCCTCTCCCAGTCCCCCCAAGCCCAAGGGAACCTCTCCCGACTTCCCTGACACACAGAGCAGACAGGAGCTGTCTTACCTGAGGGCTTATTGCAGCTCCACTCCCAGCCTAGCTCCCTCTCAGCCCGCACTCTGAGGGGCTTCTGCAAGCACTGGAGGGTTATTTTTTTTTTTCTACTGCCTCCCAATCCAGCGTCCAGCAGGCTTCAGATTACAGCTACTCCTCTCTTAAAGCAACCTGCACTCAATTTGTATTCTGATTGCATCATTGTCTGGTGTTAACTTTAACTCACCACTGCCCTCCCACCCCGTCCCACACACACACACACATTTGCACACCCTCCTCCTCCACCAGGTCTTTGAGAGCCCTGGCCTTCCTGCTGCCTACTGGGACTTCCTGTAAATTGACTGACCCATTGGGCACCCCAGCCAGCCTGGGGTGGGAGATGGGGCCTAGCAAGAATATCTTACAGCTGGAGGCTGAAAGGCAAGCAGGTAGAGTGGAGAAAACACTGCCCATAGGACCAGCAGTTGGCATAATGGCTATGTCGCTGGACTCTCATGTAGTTGACTGCTGTTCGAGTCCCGGACCCGGTGGCTTAAAACTCACTCCAGGAGTATGTGCTTGTGTGCCCAAGATCCTGAGAGGAGAATGGAGGAGAAGGGATTGCAGCATGGCAATCCCCCCTGGGGGGTGATTTTTCGCTTTTTGTCTCTCTCTCTCTCTCTCTCTCTGTCTTTCTGGGGAACAATGCGCCCTCATAGAAAAACCCCTCCCAAAAAAAAAAAAAAAAAAACACTGGCCCAGTACTGGATTCTGGGTTCTTGGTCCTTGACTCTGGCACTAACTGGGATTTAAGACAAGATAACTTAGGACTCCTCCTTCCCTTGTCCGAAAAAAGAACTGGGGTGTCTGTGTGCTTTTTCAGTTCTGAAATTCTGTGACTTTTAAATATCAGAAAGGACAGTGGGGAGAAAAACCTGACCAGAGAAGTACTGAATTCGTTACTACTGAGAGGAGGCCTACTGCGTGCCTGGCACCAAGCAAGGCTCAATAGAGGTCGCTGCAAAGGATGACACTGAGACCCAACTGGCCTTGGGATGTTCAGGAATTTGCAATGTAGTTATGAAAACACAGACACAGGGAATAGTTAAAGACTATAACAAAATGGGGGACCAGCAGGTGGCGGGCTGGTTAAGGCTATGGACACTCCCACATAGCCAACCACAGTTTGAGTCCCAGACCTGGTGGCTTGCTTTCTCACTTTCCCCCTTTCTCTCTCTCTCTCTCTCTCTCTCTCTCTCTCTCTGTCTGTCTCTCTGATCAAATGAAAGTATGTGAATCAATAAATAATTCTTTTTCTTTTGAGAGAGAGAGAAGTTTTTGCTATTGGGCACGTGTGCTCACCAGAAAGACAGAGACAGAGAGACAGAAAGCGAGAAGTCACCCCCCAGGGGATGGCCACACCACAGTCCCTTCTCCTCCATTCTCCTCTCGGGATCTTGGGCATGCACACACACACGCCCGACGTGAGTTTAAGCCACCGGGTCCAGAACTCGAACCACGGTCAACTATATGGGAGTCCAGCGACATAGCCATTACGCCAACTGCTGGTCCCTGCCTTGGTAAGTTTAATTTTTCCTGTTTCTTTAGGTTTCTCTGGCTCTTCTACTTTGGCCAATGAGTTCCTTGAACTCGTCTCTTCAGTCTCCTCTCCTTTCTTAACTAGTGCTCTTGGGGACTCTTTTGATTTTAGTCGCACATCGCCGAGGAAGCTGGCCCAGAGTTCATCCTCCTCCTTTTTCCTGGCATACTCTGACCCAAGGCCTTTCTCCTGTCCTGCAGCTTCATCTTCCTCCTCATTGCTGCTTCCTTCAGACTCCTTCTTGGCATCCTCCACTTCCTCTTCTTCTAGCAAGAGACCACCTCGTTTTCCCTTC